CTTTTTTAATTAACATCATAAACTGCCTATTCATGATTTATTTGGCAATTAAAAACCTCCTGAAAGGCAAGTTGCTGTACACTGTGAGAATTTCCTACTATCCTGGGAGAAAGAAGATTAAAGTAAGTTTAAAGATCAAAAAGAAATATTTTAATGCTTGAAAACTGATTGGGGATAGTTAAGAGGCTAGATAGATTTGAAACAGCTTTTTAAAGGTTTGTTTTAAATGTTTAAGAAAATATAGTAAATGAATTTGGATTTAATTGCAAGAAATTTGTCCTGGGAAAGTTTACTTCTGAAAATAAACACCAGATAAGATTGAGCTTTGAAGGTCAGAGGGAAGAGAGAGCAATTAAAGGAATATATCTCTTTCAACACAATGGAGGAGTATCCTTCTTTCAAAAATAATTTTTAGCTGTTTGGAATCAGTGTGTCCCGGAACTATGTTTTAAAATTGGGACCAACAGAGGTTGTAGAAGAAGAAGATTTTTTATTGGATAATATAGAAGTTGAGGACGACTTGAATAAATATTTTAAAATGGACTTTAAAGACATGCCAGATTATAAGAGAGTTATGGAAGATACGGAAAAGGATGCTGTGAATCTGAATATGGACTCAAAATTACTTATGAGAATGATATGGAGAAAGAAGCTGTAATGGATCAGAAGAGTGAGTGACTTTGAGAGCTATTCTATTTTGGACCTACAGAACGGAAACACTAAATTTCTGAAACCTTTTCTGAAAATAGACAGGGAGAGAATGATAAGAGATTACCATTTGGGGTTTTATTTGGAGAAGAGACTGAAGATTGACCCTTTCAAAAAGAAGATAAAGGAATTTAAAGTGGATTTATCAGATCAGGGTTAAATTATCTACGTTTTGATTTTGGATTGTTAATACTGAATTTTCTTTTTCTGACCAGGACTGTAAGATGATGATTTATACCATAGAAGTGATTTATTTGGTTTAGGTTAAAATACATATGTTATTACTATTGGTCTTTTGTATGCTTAAGGGGAGATAACTTTTAGGCTTTACTTTTTAGCAAAACATTAGAAGTTAAAATGCAAAATAGACCTATTTGTTTAAGTTTAAAATATATAGTTTATTATCACTGGCACTCTTAATGCTTTTGCTGATTAGATTA